ATTGATTATTATTAACCCATGTTTCATCTTTTGTTTTGACAGGCAAGGATTACTTCAGAGAAAAAGTCTGCAATGAATACAATGCATTGGGAGAAACGAATTTTCGCTCCATGTATGTATTTTGAAGCCGGATTATTTTCAGAGTTCAGAATATCAGCGTATACTGTACTGTCGTGCCCTTGGTAGTGTTGAAAGGCTGGAAAATGCCTTTCTTCTGAAGGGTTCGGTTTTCCTGCTGGGAGAACTCCAGTGCAAGGATTCAGACAACTGCTTGGAAGCTGGTTCTTTTTATTTTTCAGGAAGGCGAGAGATAGCAAGAAGTCTGCGTTCCTGGAGCTAGCTCCCTTTGTATAATAAAAACCCTGATTTTTATACCTTTTTTCTCCTTTTGTGTGTGAGTGCTTGTGTTTGTATTTCTTAATGTTTTAAGTCCTGTCAGGGGTTGTCTTCATTTCCGCTGGAGGGTAAACTCCGTGGGGTGCAGAAGGCAAGCTTTGCAGGGTAGTTTGATTGGATTATCAGTTTCCTAATGTTTTCTTATATTTGTTTTGTGGCAATCTCCTGTCTGTCTCCTTTGCAATATATTTTGTGTCTTTTGTCTGTTTGTTTAGCTGATTTGGCATGTCTTGTGTTTGTAAGGGTTTTCTTTTCTTGTTTCCTTAGTTTTCTTAATTATTTGGGCTTTTGTCTAAGGGGCTTCTTTAATACCTTTTATTTGATTCCTTTTCCTATGCAATTTTGTTTTATGGCTGGCCTGATGTTCCCCTCGGGCTTTTCCTGCTTGGGTGTCATCACTGTCCTCATGAAGTTCCCTTTCCACAGTAGAGTTGGACTCTGAGGGAGAGGAAGAACAGCCAACAGGGAGTGGCTCCTGAGGTTGTGGAGGAGGCTGGGGAAGGGCAGAAGCCAGCTGGGCAGTCAGAGGAAGAACCAGGCCCATCCCCTCTTCATCCTAGGACACGCAGGGAGGAACGGAGAAGGAAACAACTTGGCTTACAAGAGAGGAAGTGGCCATGATCCCCCTCATTGGTTGCAGTTGGGGAGAATAGTATATAAGAGAGATGGTTAAAACACAGAGTTGACCGAAGCAAAGCGTGTTTTATTTTTGGTTTGAAGTTATCTTGGTTGGCATCCTTCCAACAAACTGTGCCTTGTTATCTCCTTGAAGTTGGTAATTACTTATCCTGTTCCATTGTGGAAATTTCTTCATTGTAGTTTGTTTTGGTTTGTTATTTCACCTCTATCTGCTCATTAAGTTCAGACTGTATTGCTTTCTTTTGAAGACTATTTTGAATACCTTTTATCTCAACTGAAAATTATTGAACAGTGGGGACAAGTTGGAGGCCTTAAAGGACATTTATTTACGTTTTAGATTTTGTTACATTTGTGTTACACTCCGGGTCATCACAGTACTTGCTGTCCATAGAAACCAGGGGTGACCCCAAAGGACGGGCATCAAAATAAAGATAGTCCTCGGTTTACGACCAGAATTGAGAGCCAAATTTCTGTTACTAAGAGAGACCGTTGTTGAGTGAATTTTGCTCCATTTCACAACCTGTCCTGCCACGCTTGCTAAGTGAATCAGGGTGGTTGTTAAACGAGTAACATGGCTGTTAAGTGAATCTGGCTTCCCCCCTTCACTTCGCTTGTCAGAAGTTCATAAAAAGGGATCATGTGATCCGGGACATCGTCATAAATATGAATGCATTGCCCACTTTGATCACATGACCAGGAGGATGCTGCAACGGTCATAAGTGTGCAAACCATCATAAGTCATGTTTTTCAGTGTCATGGTAACTTCAAATGGTCACTAAATGAACTGTTGTAAGTCGAGGATGACATAGGTCTGCCAGAAATAGAAAATACAAGTAGTCCTTGACTTACGAGTACTTGCTTAACGACTGTTCTAAGTGACAACAGATTCCCCCAAAGCTGTTCTGACCCAGGCTTCGTCAAACATAATTAATATCAAACTTGTTTTAAAAGCAAAACCTATTTTGTTGCAATGCTGGGAATTGCTTTCATTCCCAGTCAGAACTGATCTTAAACAGTTCCCCAAGATAAGCACATACCTTTCAGTGCTGTGGAATGATGCCAAAAACAGGAGTATCCAATTAATTATAACAGAAACCAACCGAAGTACCAGAAAAAAACTGACCAGAGTACACAGAGCTTCAAAGAGGACTCAGAATCTATCAAACTACTTTGCTTCCTGCAAAGAGTTCGTCACCGAGGTCTGACTTTTATCCTTTAAGGGAGGGGCAATCACCTCCCAGCCTTGCTCCCGAGTCGTCCCTTCTGTTTCAGCTGCTGTCGCCTTCTAGCAGCTATGCGCACATGCACACTGGGCACAGGCTCCCCGGGGTCCTCTGCTTCGCTGCTGCCAGACTCTGAAGGCTCCAGAGGCAGCACCCCACTCCCAAATGGTCCTGGCCCCATCTCTGCATTGGACGCAGGACCCTCATCCGAGTCCTCTCCAGAACTCCTCCCTGACTGGTCCTCATTCTTCCTCACTGTCCGATTCCGCTGCCATCTGCACCGGCTGCCGGCGAATCACAACAAAAGCTAGTTATGACCTTATTTTGAAGTTACAACAGCCCCCCACACACACACACATACTCATATCATGGTGGCAAACGGGCTCACCTTCATGGCTATTTCACAGTCACATGACCATAATTTTTGATGGATTGTTTTGTCCAATTTCCTTGTTTCCCAGCAAAAATAAATGAAATACCCATTGCATAAAATAAATTCACAACATTCCTTTAACAACTGCTGCAAAAACAAGAAAGAAAGAAAGAAAATGCTGTAAAATGGAGTCCGGTCACATAAGCGACCCAATTTAACAATGATTTACAATCATAATTCCAGGCTCAATTATAGTCATTATAGTCAATTATAGTCATTATTTCCGCTATAATTATACTCTATAGCTATGGGACAAACAGTGTCTGCGAGATCCTAGACTGTATTGGCTTTTCAGGCCAGGAATACCCATAAGAAAAGAGTCCAAAAAGTTAAGATGGCTACAGCCTTGCAGTTAAAGGCAGTGGTGGGATTAAAAAATTTTTACTACTGGTTCTAGAAGAGCATGTTTTGTGTGCTATGTGTGCAGCATTCAAAAAGCACCCATTTTAAGCTTAAAAACTTTTCTTCTACCCAGAGGTGGTATTCAGCAGGTTCTGGCCGGTTCTGGAGAACTGGTAGTGGAAATTTTGAGTAGTTCAGAGAACTAGCAAATCCCACCTCTGACTGGCCCCACCAACCCCATCTATTCCCTGCCTCCCATTGAGTCCCAGCTGATCGGCTGGGTCTTCTTTGGTTGCCCTGCACAGGAGAACGGAGCTGGAAAGCAGGTTAGTGGGGTGAGGAGGAAAGGGGGATTTTGCAGTAACCTTCCCCTGCCACGCCCACCAAGCCACGCTCACAGAACTGGTAGTAAAAAAATTTGGAATCCTACCACTGTTTCTATGTCAGCGCTGGTGAATAAAAGAGCTGAGGCGCAGCAACCCGTCCTGCTGCGCAAATCAGCTAAGCTGAAAAACACGGAAATATAGGTCAGGATAGGACAGGGGTGGGTGAGCAGAGCCAGCTGATCATCGGAGTTACCGGTTCAAAAAAAATGGTCCAAATCAGCAGCATCCCATCATGGTTAAAGGTCAACCCCTGAAGTGGGGGGTCCTTGGTGCTCTCTGAGCTTGGTTGTTTTCTTGCAGATGTTTCATTACCAAACTAGCTAACGTCATCAGTGCCAGGAGGGAGTGGGGTTTCTTGAAGAGGAGGAGGAGGAGGAAGAGGGGGAGGAAGAGGAAGAGGAGGAGGAAAAAGAGCATGGAGTCCTTGGTGCTGTCTGAGCTTGGTCGTTTTCTTGCAGATGTTTCATTACCCAACTAGTTAACATCCTCAGTGCCAGAAAGGAGTGTTGTTTGCTGTCAATTTATATTTTGGTCAGTGGCGGGATTCAAAAATTTTTTACTACCAGTTCTGTGAGTGTGGCTTGGTGAAGTGGGCGTGGATAGATGATAGATAGACAGATGAGATGAGAGAGATTATAGGTAATGATAAATGATAGATTAGATAGATAGATAGATAGATAGATAGATAGATAGATAGATAGATAGATGATTGATAGATAGATAGATAGATAGATAGATAGATAGATAGATAGATAGATAGATAGACAGACGAGATGAGATGAGAGAGATTATAGGTAATGATAAATGATAGATATAGATAGCTGGATAGATAGATAGATAGATAGATAGATAGATAGATAGATAGATAGATAGATAGATAGATAGATAGATAGATAGATAGATGATGCATGCATACCAGTGGTGAGATTCAAAAATTTTCACTACCGGTTCTGTGGGTGTGGCTTGGTAGGAGTGGCAGGGGAAGGTTACTGCAAAATCTCCATTCCCTCCCCATCCCACTAACCTGCTTTCCAGCTCCATTCTCCTGTGCAGAGCAACCAAAGAAGACCCAGCCAATCAGCTGGGACTCAGGAGGCGGAGAAGAGATGGGGGTGGCGGGGCCAGTCAGAGGTGGGATTTGCCAGTTCTCTGAACTGCTCAAAATTTCCGCTACCGGTTTTCCAGAACTGGTCAGAACCTGCTGAATGCCCACCTCTGTCTCCAAGACAGCCCAGCTGTAGCCCCCACAGCTGCAACAAGCAGATCTTTCAAATCAGGTGTCAAGTCACTTTTCTTTTTAACTTGGCTTTTGCAGATCAATCATCATAAACAGCAGGAAGTATTCTAATGCCACCTTTGAGCAAATCATCAGTCTCGTCAACGACATACTAGACTTGGCCAAAAAATGTTGTGGTGCAGGAGCTGATCCAGACTGCTATGAAAACGAGGTAAATTTCAACACCAACACAAAGCAGATCCAGTCTTCCTCAGCCCGGAGGCGACTGGATAACAAGTACCAATAGAAAAGAATATATAGAATAGAATAGAATAGAATAGAATAGAATAGAATAGAATAGAATAGAATAGAATAGAATAGAATAGAGTAGAGTAGAGTAGAGTAGAGTAGAGTAGAGCAGAGCAGAGCAGAGCAGAGCAGAGCAGAACAGAACAGAACAGAACAGAACAGAACAGAACAGAATAGAATAGAATAGAATAGAATAGAATAGAATAGAATAATAGAGTTGAAAGGGACCTTGGAGGTCTTCTAGTCCAACCCCCTGCCTAGGCATGAAACCCTGTGCCATTTTAGACAAATGGTTATCCAATCTCTTCTTAAAACCTCCAGTGTTGGAGCATTTACAACTTCAGGCTAGTTTGTGATCTTCCTTAAGATAGCTAGCTGGCTTCAATGGAAAAAGTGACGGGGAATTAAATGAAACTTTGCTGATAGAGAGTGGAATTGACCTTCTCCTCTTCCTCTCCAGAGAAAGTTGAGGGACTAAAGAAGAAAATCTGTAGCTCAGGGTTGAAATGAGTGGCCCTTGTTTCTCTCTCAGCGTTAATGTTGTTTTCTTGCAGAATTTCAATGCCCTGAACTAGATAACATCATCATAAAAAGGAATGAAGTTTGTAGAGGAGGAGGAGGAGGAGGAGGAGGAGGAGGAGGAGGAGGAGGAGGA